CTTAATCTGAGACTGCAGTGCAGTGACACAATCATGGCTTATCCACAGCCTTGACTTCCTGGGCTCAGTCCATTCTCCCACCTCAGCCTCCTGAGTAGCTGGGACTACAGGTGTGTACCACCACATGCAGCTGATTATATTGTGTAGCGACAAGGTCTCACTATGTTTCCCAGGCCTATCTTGAACTCCTGGGCTCAAGCGATCCTTCTGCTTTAGCCTCCCAAAGTGCTGGGATTTCAGGCGTGGGCTAGTATACCTGGCAAACATTAAAATTTTGTATATGTATATAGCAAAAGTCATAAATGAAAACATAAGGGGTTTAAATACGCATGCCCATTCACCCAGAAATTTTACTTTTTTTTTTTTTTTTATTTGAGTTGGAGTCTCACTGTGTCACCTAGACTGGAGTGCAGTGGCCATGCCCGGTCACTGCAGCCTCGACTTGCTGGGCTCCAGCAATCCTTCTGCCTCAGCCTTTCGAGTAGCTGGAACTACAGGCACGTGCTACCACGCCTGGCTAATTATTTTTTTGATTTATTGTAGAGACAAGGTCTCGCCAAGTTGCCCAGGCGGGTCTCGAACCCGCAGGCTCAGGCAATCCACTCACCTCAGCCTCCCAAAGGCGCGGGATTACAGGCTGAGCCACCGAGCCTGGCAGAAATTTTACTTTTGATAAGTGTGTAAGTATAGCTCAAAGGTTTTGTCACATTATTTATTTATTTATTTTTGAGTTGGAATCTCACTCTGTTGCCCATGCTGGAGGGCAGTGGGATGCTCACGGCCACCGCAACCTTGACCTGCTAGGCTCAGGCGATCCTTTTGCCTCAGCCTTCCAAGTAGCTGGAACTACAGACACATGCGTCATGCCTGGCTAATTTTTGTGATTTCAGGTTGCCCAATCTGGCCTCAAACCTCTGGGCTCAGGCAGTCCTCTTGCCTTGGCCTCCCAAAGTGTTGGGATTACAGGCTGAGCCACCACGCCTGGCCTGTATTTCTTACTTTGGAGGTGGCATAGCATAATAATTAACCCAGTTTCTATAGTCACATGACCAACAGCAATCTTAGTTCTATCATCTGCTAATTAAATGTTGCTGGAGAGGCTGAACATGGTGACTCACGCCTCACAACCTTGGTTCAAGACCAGCCAGGCGACTCAGCCAGACCTCGTCTCTACAATAAACCAAAAAATTAACCAGGTGTGGTGGCACACGCCTGTAGTTCCAGCTACTTGGAAGGCCGAGGTGGAAGGATTGCCTGAGCCCAGCAGGCTGAGGCTGTGGTGGCCATGAGTGTACCATTGCACTCCAACCTGGGTGACAATGAGACTCCAACTCAAAAAAAAAAAATGTCGGGGAGGCTCTAAAGCAGGGATAATATCTTCACACACAAGGAAGCTATAAGGATGAAGTGAGGTATGCTAGTGCTTGCTTTCTGATAAGTGTTTTTAAATTGTTTTACTTCTATTCTTGGTGAGATAATGTGTATCAGTGAGACATTGTCATCTAGGGCTCTCCTTGAAAATCCTTGAAGAGACTTTCTCCTCTTTAAGGAATCCATGTTTATCATCTGAAAATAAAAAAAGATAAGAGAAAAATGTATAGAAACTTAAAGTATGTAAAAATAGCATTGTTAACAAGAGCACTTCTTTTCTATGATACTCGTTTGAAATTGGGGTCCACATCCCATGGCTGGAGGAGACTGCTTTCTTATTTCAGGAGTCTCAATGAAGGTGGTGGGGCCTAAAGTTTAATTTTTTGTTATTGTCGGGGCATTATTTTTCTATAAAATTTGTTACTCAAATGTAGTTTCTCAAATGTTGGAATTCCTTATTTTCTTTCTTTTTTTTTTTTTTAAGTTGGAGTCTCACTCTGTCGCCCAGACTGGAGTGCAGTGGCCACTTCCGGCCACTGCAGCCTCGACCTGCTGGGCTTCCACCTCAGCCTTCCAAGTAGCCGGAATTACAGGCATGTGCTACCACGCCTGGCTGATTTTTTGATTTATTGTAGAGATGAGGTCTCACTGCCCAGGTGGGTCTCGAACCCACGGGCTCAGACAATCCACTCACCTCAGCCACCCAAAGGCACAGGATTATAGGCTGAGCCACCGAGCCCGGCTGGAATTCCTTATTTTCCACTGCACCCATTCTCCCATGTGTGATACAAGGCTGTGCTTAGATAATTGTAAGATATGATACAGTAAACACTAGAGGCAAATATATGTTCTGTGTTCTGTTCCTAGTTTATTCATTTTTATTTGTTTTTTTTGAATCCAGGTCTCACTATCACCCAGGCTGGAATGCAGTGGCACTATCACAGGGCTCACTGCAGCCTCAAACTCCTAGTCTCAGGTAATCCTTTTGCCTCAGGCTACTGAGTTGCTGAAACTACAGGTGGGCCACCACACCCAGGATATTTTTTAAATTTTTTGTAGAGAATAGGACTTGTTAAGTTGCCTAGGCTGGTCTTGAATTCCTGGGCTCAAGCAGTCCTTCTGCCTTGTCTCCCAGTGTGCTGAGATTCCAAGCGTGAGCTACTGTGGCTGGCCCTGTTTCTAGTTTAGAAGCCCCAAATCTTTATCTCCTACCCTGATTAAGTTGAAGCATGGGACTGCCAGGTATAAGCAAGCACCTCTTTCCTATTTACTGTACCCTCACTTTTGCTTATATCTTAAGCCTTTCAAATCGGGAGCCATTCTGGTGGGAGATTACAGGAGGAAAATAGGTTTTCTACTTCTTTGTCCACTCCTCATATAAAACAGAACACTCCATTCCCAAGACACTTGTGATCTTTCCTGCCATTTTGTATTGGTACATAACAGAGATCATTCTTGGAGTTACAAAGAGAGCTAGGTAAGGATATTTGGCTAACAGCCCTCATTTTTCCCAACTTAACTCAGTAGTCTTAACTATCAGACTGATTGTTAAGCTCCGCTTATTGCCTTTCGTGTGCAGCATCAGTGAATAGCCTAAGTCATGTCTGTACTTTTGTGAGCTTCTAAGAAATGCCTCAGCTTTTTTGAATTTATTTATTATTTTTTGAGTCAGAGTGTCAGTCTGTCATCCAGGCTGCAGTGCAGTGGCACGTTGATGGCTACTGCAACCTCGACTTGCTGAGCTCAGGTGATCCTTCTGCCTCTGCCTTCAAGTAGCTGAAATAGGCTTGTGCCACCACATCTGGCTAATTTTTGTATTTAATGTAGAGACACAGTCTCACCAAGTTGCCCTGGCTGGTCTTGAACCCCTGGACTCAGGCAATCCTCTTGCCTCCCCCTCCCAAAGTGCCAGGATTATAGGAATGAGCCACCATGCCATGCACGACGGCTTGTTTGCATTTACTTAGAAATAATGTCCTTGTTTTATTTCCCAGGACCTTTATAGGTATGTTTCTTCAGTGGGTCCTCCTTCAAGCCATTAAATGCATATATATATTACTTAATTTGACCTGAAGACTCTCCTATAGTCTGGTCAAAACGTCAACCTTTAAGTTGTATGTCCTATTTTGGGAGACTGAGGTGGGAAGATTGCTTGAGTGCAGGAATCTGAGGCTGCAGTGAGCTATAGTCACCCTACTGCACTCCAGCCTGGGTAATAGATGGAGACTGCATCTCTATAAAAAAAAAATTATGTTTCCCATCTTAAAATATGCCTTATTAATGGTTATTCAGTTAAGCTCACCACACAAGTTTATTTAATGTCATGAGTATAATAACTCTTTGAAACTGTGTGATATTGTTCCTTGCTAATATTAAATTTCACACCCTTACCAAATAATAAAGTGGCAATGATTCCACTAGTTAAGTCTTTCTAATTGTGATTTTTAAGACGTAATTCCTGCCAGATACGATGGCTCATGCCTGTAATCCCAGCACCTTGGGAGGTGGAGGTGAGAGAATTGCCTGAGTTCAGGGGTTTGAGACCAACCTGAGCAACTTGGTGAGACCTCATCTCTACAACAAATCAAAAAATTAGCCAGGTGTGGTGGCTCATACCTGTTCTTGGAAAGAATTCCAGCTACTTGGAAGGCTGAGGTGGAAGGATCTCCTGAGCCCAGCAGGTTGAGGCTGTGGTGGCTGTGAGTGTGCCACTGCACTTTAGCCTGGGCAACAGAATAAGACTCCGACTTGAAATAAAGAAAGGAAGAAAGAATTCCTGCTGGGCGCAGTGACTCACACCTGTAATCCCAGCACTTTGAGAGGCTGAGACAAGAGGATTGCCTGAGTCCAGGAGTTCGAGATCAGCCTGGGCAACTTGGTGAGACCTCATCTCTACAAGAAATTAAAAAAAAAAAAAGTTAGCCAGGCGTGGTGTTTACCTGTAGCCCCAGCTACTTGGAAGGCTAAGGCAGAAGAATCTCCTGAGCAGGTCAAGGCTGCTGTGGCCGTGTGTGTGACACTACACTCTAGCCTGGTGACAGAGTGAGACTCCTCAAAAAAAAAAAAAATTCCGTTAACTAGAAGGATAGAAACATTCGGCCAGGTGAAGAAGCCCTTTAGATTTCACTCTTTAGGAGATAAGATTCTTCTCCAAAGTTAAACTATGGAAAGATGTCAGTATTAGCCAGGCCTGGTGGCTCATACTGTAATCCCGGCACTTTGGGTGGTGGAGGCAAGAGGATTGCCTGTGCTCAGGGGTTCTACCAGCCTGAGCAACATGGTGAAACCTCGCCTCTACAATAAGTCAAAAAATCAGCCGGGTGTGGTGGCACTTGCCTGTGGTTCTAGCCACTTGGACAGCTGGGTGGAAGAACTGCCTGAACCCAGTAGGTCAAGGCTGTCGTGGCCGTGAGCAGTGCCACTGCACTGCAGCCTGGGTCACAGAGTGAGACTCAGACTCACAAAAAAAAAAAAAAAAAAAATCAAGATGGAAGTATTTAGTTGTAGCTATCCATTCCTTCTTCTTTTTTTTTTTTTAATTCAGAATCTCACTGTCAAAGTGTTGGGGAAATGACTGGTGGAAATGATTTGTTTTTCCATTTTAATATTTTTTTCTTCCTTTACTTAAGGATTCCTGGATGAGGTTATGAAGAAGTATGGCAGTTTGGTTCCACTCAGTGAAAAAGATGTCCTTGGACGATTAAAAGATGTCTTTAATGAAGACTTTTCTAACAGGTATGTAAATGATGTTAAAGTTAAGCCCTTGAAAATAAACTTGGTATATATGACTTTTCTTTTGGGGAAAAAAAGATACTTAGCAGTAAACTGAGTGGAACTCATGTTTTTTACCTTTTTTCAAATCTTTCTGTTTCAGAAAACCATTTATCAATAGAGAAATAACAAACTATCGGGCCAAACATCAAAAATGCAACTTCCGCATTTTCTACAATAAGCATATGCTGGATATGGATGACCTGGCCACCCTAGATGGCCAGAACTGGCTGAATGACCAGGTTAGTGTGTTGTAGGTGCTTAGCGTGGAAAAGTTGCAGAAAATGTTGGTCAATAAAATAGAGTTATAATTTCTGAGTTTTATCTTTTGGAATCAAGTATTCTTTATTCCTTACTGACGTTACTAACCCTAGGACCCAGAAAGCTTGATTACTGTTAGCAGTATCAATATATTATTCATTCTGATTGGGATGTTCTGAATTGTTTAGGGTTAGTAAGCTGGTTTTATGTTGATTTTTATAGGTCATTAATATGTATGGCGAGTTGATAATGGACGCAGTCCCAGACAAAGTAAGTGAAAACTTCCTCTTCTTTAGGAAAGTCCTTGTGTATTAAAAGTAGTAGTTTTTTTGTTTTTCAACTTTATTTGATGTAATATTTGATATACCTAACATTTATCTTTTTTTTTTTTTTTTTTTTTTTGGAGTCGGGGTTTCACTCTTTCACCCAGGCTGGAGTGCAGTGGCACGCTCACAGCTACCACAGTCTCGACCTGCTGGGCTCAGCCAATCCTTCCGCCTTCCAAGTAGCTGGAACCACAGGCACGTGCCACCATGCCCAGTGAATTTTACTTAGTTTATTGTAGAGATGAGATCCTGCCAAGTTGCCCAGGCTGGTTTTGAACCCAAGGGCTCAGGCAGTCCTCTCACCTCTGCTTCCCAAAATACTGGGATTACAGGCATGAGCCACTGTGCCCAGCTTGATATACCTAACATTTTTCATGGAGAAATCTTTACTACTCAGTTGCAATACTAACTCAACACTCATAAACTCTAAGTTCTCTTAAGAGCTTAGTTAATATATTAAAAGTATTTTTTAACTTAATGTATTAATTTTTCTTTCTGAGTACTCAAATGCCTGATGGGCAGCAAAAGTTTCCACGTCATTATAAAACTTTCATAAATCTAATAAATTATAGAGATAAACATGGATAAATTTGAGATTCTGATACTGTTTATGAATGTAGAAAAATGTTTTATAACTTTCCGCTTAAAATTACATATCTGTTATACATTATAAGCTGGAATCATGAGATTAATCTGCCAAATTCTCTATCATGTCAGATTTTCTTAACCATCAGAAAATTTTAAAATCTAAACACATACAATTTTTTAAACAATAAAATATTAATCTGAAGGGTTTGATTTACCTTCATTGTCTCTACATTTAATTTTTTTTTTTTTTAGGTTAGAATATATAGTTTATTTAAAAGTATATTAGAGAGAGAGAAAGAGAAGATTCACCTCCCCAAGGTGGGGGAGGGGGCCAAAGCCAGAAAGCATGGCAATAGCCATAGTTCAAAGAGCACATAGATACACCAGAGTCTAGCAAGGCAATGGCCTCTGTATTTAATTTTGAACCTTCATCGTGTTAAAAGAACACTTGTGTCTTTTTGGTAGCTCAAGCTTTTAATCCCAGCTATGCGAGAGGTTGTGATGGGAGGATTGCTTAAAGCCAGGAATTGGGGACCAGCCTGAGCAACATATAGGCTCTGTCTCTTAAGAAAGGATTAAAAAAAAGAAGAAAGAATACTTACTAAGGTAGTGGTTCTCAAAGTCCCCAGACCAGCAGCATCAGCATCACCTGAGAACTTACTATAAATGCACATTCTCTCTCTAGGCTGGACGTGGTAGCTCATGCCTATAATCCCAGCACTTTGGGAGGTCCACGTGAGAGGATTGCCTGAGCCCATGGGTTTGAGACCAGCCTGGGCAACTTGACGAGACCTCGTCTCTACAATAAATCAAAAATTAGCTGGGTGTGGTGGCATATGCCTGTAGTTTCAGCTACTTGGAAGGCTGAGGCAGAAGGATCGTCTGCGCCCAGCAGGTTGAGGCTGCAGTGGCCATCAGCGTGCCACTACACTCTAACCTGGCAACAGAATGAGACTCCAACTCAAAAAAAAAAAAAAAAAAAAAGCACATTCTCAGACCCCAAACCAGACCTACTGAATCATAAACTGGAGGTGGGGCCCATTAATCAAATTTTATAAGCCTTTCAGATGATTCTGAAATATATTCTGATATATAAATAAGGTAAATCGTTACCTTATTTTTTCATAGCCTCTTTCAACTTTATCACCTGATTTGGAGAGATTTGTCAGGTTGCTTCTCTTCTTGATTGAATTCAGGTAATCTGTTTACTGCCCCATTCCAGTTCTTAATCTAGGCTGCAGCTGTAAACTCATTCTAGTAAAAATTTGGAACAGAGCCGGGCTCAGTGGCTCAGCCTGTAATCCCGTGCCTTGGGAAGCTGAGGTGAGTGAATTGCCTGAGCCCGTGGGTTTGAGACCCGCCTGGGCAACTTGGTGAGACCTCATCTCTACAATAAATAAAAAATTAGCTGGGTGTGGTAGCGCGTGCCTGTAGTTCCAGCTACTTGGAAGGCTGAGGCGGAAGGATCGCTGAAACCCAGCAGGTCGAGGTGGCCGGGAGTGGCCACTGCACTCCAGTCTGGGCAATAGAGTGAGACTTCAACTCAAAAAGAAAAAAAAAAGAAAAATTGGAACAGAATCTTCTATAAACCATGAAATATATTTTCTGTATTTTGATCATATTTTTTGGGGGGGGTTATTTATTTATTTATTTTAAAAATTATTTATTGTAGCCGAGCTTGGTGACTCAGCCTGTAATCCCGTGCCTTTGGGAGGCTGAGGTGAGTGGATTGCCTGAGCCCATGAGTTCGAGACTCGCCTGGGCAGGCGAGACCTCATCTCTACAATAAATCAAAAAATCAGCCGGGCGTGGTAGCACATGCCTGTAATTCCGGCTACTTGGAAGGCTGAGGCGGAAGGATCGCCGGAGCCCAGCAGGTTGAGGCTCCGGTGGCCGGGAGCGGCCACTGCACTCCAGTCTGGGCGACAGAGTGAGACTCCAACTCAAAAAAAAAAAAAAAAAAAAAAAAAAATTTATTGTAGAGACAAAGTTTTGCCAAGTTGCCCAGGCTGGTCTTGAGCCCTGGGCTCAGGCAATCCTCTTCCCTCTGCTTCCTAAAGTGTTGGGATTATAGGTGTGAGCCTCTGTGCCCAGCTGATCATTATTTTCTAAGAAGAAACATTTCGTCGGGTGGCTCATCTGTAATCCCAGCACTTTTTTGGAGGGCAGAAGTGATAGGATTACCTGAGCTCAGGAGTTCAAGACCAGCCTGAGCAACATAGTGAGACCTCGTCTCTATAATTTAAATATATGTATTTATTTCATAAAAACACATATATTTATTTTTTTAGCCGGGCATGGTGGCACACGCCTGTGGTTCCAGCTACTTGGAAGGCTGAGGTGGAAGGGTCACCTGAGCCCAGTAAGTTGAGGCTGCGGTGGCTGTGAACGTGCCACTGCACTCCAGCCTGGGCGACAGAGTGAGACATCAACTCAAAAAAAAAAAAATGTTTCCCTCCCTTTTGTCTGTGTTATATTCCGGAATTTTATTATTTTTATTTTTATTTTTTTTTGAGTTGGAGTCTCACTCTGTCGCCCAGGCTAGAGTGCAGAGGCATGCTCACAGCCACCGCAGCCTCAACCTCAACCTGCTGGGCTCAGGTGATCCTTCCACCTCAACCTTCCAAGTAGCTGAAACTACAAGTGCATGCCACCATGCCTGGCTAATTTTTTGCTTTATTGTAGAGATGAGGTCTCACCAGGTTGCCCGGGCTGGTCTCAGACTTGTGAACTCAGACAATCCTCTCACCTCTGCTTCCCAAAGTGCTGGGATTATAGGCATGAACCACCCTGCCTGGCCTATTCAGGCATTTTTAAATTTCCATTTTCTTTTGAAATTCAGTTGGAACACAACTTAATATAATCTGGTTGCTTGTATTTGTTGTCTCTTCCAGGTTCATTTCTTCAACAGCTTTTTTCATAGACAGCTGGTAACCAAAGGATATAATGGAGTAAAAAGATGGACTAAAAAGGTATTCTCTTTTTTTCTGTTTTATTCTAAATTTGAAATGCAGATGATAAGCCACTTTAGGTAGAAGGATAAGAAATTTAATACCAATATGATGTTAATTAGAAACAGACTCTTTAATGTGACAGGTTTTAAAGATTGTTTCTTTTTTTTAAATTTTTTGAGTTCGAGTCTCCCTTTGTTGCCCAGGCTGGAGTGCTGTGGCATGCTCATGGCTACTGCAGCCTCAACCTTGACCTGCTCTACTCAGGTGATCCTCCCGCCTCAATACACTACCAGGCCTGGCTCCTTTTTTTGGTTTGTTGTAGAGATGAGGTCTCACCAAGTTTCCCAGGTCTATCTTGAACCCCTGGGCCTAGGTAATCCCCTCACCTTGGCCTCCCAAAGTTCTGGAATTACAGGTTGTGAGCCACCGCCCCAGCTAGCCAGATTGTTTATTTTAAATCTTTTTGTTTGAATTAACTTAATTTCCTCTTGGTCTCAATTACAATGAGTGAACAGAAGGATGATAGCACAAAGCAAGGCTAAGGCAGGAGGATCACTTGAGCTCAGGGATTTGAGGCCAGCATGGGAAATATAGCAAGACTTAGTCTCTAAAAATTTTTTTTTTAAATTCTGATCCATCAGAAAAAATAAATTTTATTTCACAATCTATACATGAAATTATATATATATACATAACTGAAAGATTCCAAAAAACCATATACCTAATTTGCTATGTATGCTATATTTCATTTTCTATTCTGTTCTACAGCTTTTGAATTATCATTATTACTGCTTTTTGAGTTGTGCCCAGGCTGGAGTACAGTGGTACGATCACAGCCCACCAAAGCCTCTACCTCCTGGACTCAGACAATTCTGCCCCAGCCTTCCAAGTAACTAGGACTACAGACGTGCATGACCTTGCCTGGCTAATTTCATCTATCTATCTATCTATCTGTCTATCTATCCATCCATCTATCTATCCGTCTGTTTATCTGTTTATCTGTTTATTTATTTATTTTGTAGAGATGAGGTCTCACTATGTAGCTTAGGCTGGTCTTGTACTCCTGGGCTTAAGCAGTCCTGCCTCAGCCTCCCAAAGTGCTGGGATTACACGCAAACCACTACACTCAGTTTATAGGTTTTTAATTAAATGTCCATTATGTGTTATACTGATAATAGAAGGCTGAAAATACTAAGATATCTAAGATAAGGATTCATTGACAGTACAGTATGATAGCAAGTAGCTACGTGTAGGTATTTAAATTTAGATTAATAGAACAAACCTTTTTATTTTTCTTTTTGTGAGTCAGAGTCTCACTCTGTCACCCAGGCTGGAGTGCAGTGGCATGCTCACAGCCACCACACCTTGACCTGCTCGGTTCAGGTGATCCTTCCACCTCAACCTTCCAAGTAGCTGGAACCACAGGCATGTACCACCACACCCAGCTAATTTTTTGATTTATTGTAGGGATGAGGTCTCACCAAATTGTCCAGGCTGGTCCCGAACCCCTGGACTCAGGCAATCCTCTCACCTCTGCCTCCCACAGTGCTGGGATTACAGGTGTGAATCACTGCGTCAGGCAGAATAAAACTTAAAATTTAGTTTTTCCATTAATTCTAGTCACATTTCAAGTGCTGAAGTAGTCATGTTGCTACTGGCTACCATGCTGGACAACACAGAGAATATTTTCATCAGCTGAGCACAGAGTCTCCCACCTGTAATCCCAGAACTTTGGAAGACTGAGGCAGGAGGATTGTTTGAACCCAGGCATTTGGGACTAGGCTGGGCAATATAGCAAGACCTTGTCTCTATGAAAAATTTTTTAAAAAATTAGCTGGAGCCAGGCTCGGTGGCTCAGCCTATAATCCCGCGCCTTTGGGAGGCTGAAGTGAGTGGATTGCCTGAGCTCGCAGGTTTAAGATCCGCCTGGGTGGCGAGACCTCATCTCTATAATAAATCACAAAAAATCAGCGGGGCGTGGTAGCTCATGCCTGTAATTCCAGCTACTGGGAAGGCTGAGGTGGAAGGATTGCCGGAGCCCAGCAGTTCGAGGCTGTGGTGACTGGGAGCGGCCACTGCACTCCAGTCTGGGTGACAGAGTGAGACTCCGACTCAAAAAAAAAAAAAATTTGCTGGGCATGGTGGTGCACACTTGTAGTCTCAGTTACTTGAAAGGCTGAGGTGGAAAGATTGCCTGAGCTCAGGAGGTTGTGGCTGCAGTGAGCTGTGAATGTGCCATTGCACTTCAGCCTGGGTAACAGAGCAAGACCCAAGTCTCATCATCACAGAAAGTTCTTTTGGACAGTGCTGGTCTAAAAAGTAGAGAAACATGTAATGAAGTAATGACAAAATAAGAGATGTACTAATAAAGCTAATATCAAGTGCTGTGGAGGAACACTAATAATGGAGAGTAATTATGAGGGAAAGGGTGATGGGTTTGAGGAACTGCACTGAGAGCGGTAGCCTGGGATCAAATAAATACAGGAAAGGGGAAGCTGGAAAATAGCCCATAGACTCCCAGTAGTACAAGAACTGTTGACCTTCAAAGTTATAAATTGGTAGTTCCTAATATAAGTCCCTCTTCTACATCACTCACCCAGGGTAGAAAATCAAAATTGAGGAAGGGAAGAACACTCTGAAAAGCATATTCAGTAAAGGATTGCTCTTATCATCATAAAGTACCATAAGAGCCCATGACTTGAAGCATGGGGCGGGGAAGAGCATATGGTGCTTTTTGGACTTTGAGGTAGAGTAATGGCTAAATTCTGAATATGTAAGCTAAAATGTGTTCTCTTTTTAACTAAAGAATAAAAGTTTTAAGATGGGCATGTTCAATATTTTGTATATATATATGTCTTTGGAAAATGGTTTAAAAAAAGTTTTTATAGACTAGAAGCAGTGGCTCATTCATGTAATTCCAGTACTTTGGGAGGCTGAGCTAAGAGGATTGCCTGAGCCCATAGGTTTGAGGCCAGCCTGGGCAACTTGGAGAGACCTCATCTCTACAATAAATAAATAAATAAAATTAGCCGAATGTGGTGGTGCATGCCTGTAGTTCCAGCTACTTGGAAGGCTGAGGTGGAAGGATCGCCTGAGCCCCACAGGTTGAGGATGCGGAGGCCAGGAGCCATGCCACTGCCCTCCAGCCTGGGTGACAGAGTGAGACCCCAATTCAAAAATAAAAAAATCAATAAACCTTCCTTTTGTTGGGGGGGGGCAGTTCGTTAAGATGACATGGTGGTCTGCTTCATGTCATCATGAAAGGCAGGTAAGTACAAGTATTGACATCAGGTGATGGATGGCAAGCAGATGGGTAGGTCAGTCACATGATTGCTGCCGTGGTGATGAGGTTTATCTGTGTCATGGTCACGAAGGGCTGATTAGGCTAACTTGGGTCTTATGGGTGGAGGCAAATACTTGAAATAGAAAAACTAATTGTACAAAACAAGCTGAGGAGGGGGTTGTAAAACAATTATCAATAGCTACCTCTGAGAAACCGGTTCTATCCTTGGCTACTGATTAGAGGGTAAAGTGAACTACTAGAAGAACATGACAGAGCTAAGCAATGTTAAAATGGCTGCTCATTGGGTATATTGACTCCATGTTATATCCTTTCAAAGTATACATTCATGGAAAAATATCTGAATAATAAACATGAGTGTGAAGGAATAAAACCAAATATATGAGTTACTTAATTAAATAGTAATGAATTGGCTGGTCGCGGTGGCTCATGCTTATAATCCCAGCACTTTGGGAGGCTGAGGCAAGAGAATTGCCTGAGCCCGCGGGTTCCCAACCAGCCTGGGCAACATAGATCTCGACTCTACAATAAATTTAAAAAATTAGCTGGCTGTGGTAGCGCGTGCCTGTAGTTCCAGCTACTTGGAAGGCTGAGGCGGAAGGATGGCCTGAGCCCAGTAGGTCAAGACTGCAGTGGCCGGGAACATGCCACTGCACTCCAGTCCTGGTGACAGAGTGAGACTCCAACTCAAAAAATAAATAAATAAATAGTAATGAATTAAATTATTCCATCCTTTGGATCCTCTTGGATTGGGTTAAGTAAAAAAAAAAATCCTGGCAGGTCGTGGTGGCCCATGCCTGTAATCCCAGCACTTTGGGAGGTGGAGGCAAGAAGATTGCCTGAGTGTATAGGTTTGAGACCAGCCTGGGCAACATGGTGAGACCTCATCTCTATAATAAGTCAAAAAGTTAGCTGGCTGTGGTGGCTCACGCCTGTAGTTCCAGCCACTTGGATGGCTGGGCAGAAAGATTACCTGAGCCCAGCAGGTAAAGGCTGCAGTGGCTGTGAGCATGCCACTGTACTCCAGCATGAGTGACAGAGTGAGATTCTGGCTCAAAAAATAAAAAAGAAAAAACCCAGTTATAACAAGCCCAGAGACCTTGGCATAATACAGTGTACTTGATTTACTAGATATATATATAATAAATATTTTTTTTTTTTTTGAGTTGGAGTCTTACTCTGTTAACCACGCTGAAGTGCAGTGGAACGCTCACAGCCACTGCAGCCTCGACCTGCTGGGCTCAGGTGAGCCTTCTGCTTCAGTCTTCCAAGTAGCTGGAAGTACAGACACATGCTACCATGCCCAGCTAATTTTTTAATTTGTTGTAGAGACGAGGTCTCACCAAATTGCCCAGGCTGGTCTTGAACCCCTGGCTCAGGGAGTCCTCTCACCTCGGCCTCCCAAAGTGCTGGGATTACAGACTTGAGCCACCACGTCCAACCTTATAATATATCTTTATGTAACCATCATAAGTTCATTGCCCAAAGCTCACAACAAGTCACTATGCAGATATCAGGTTGCAGCAGAGAAAGAGGTTTAATATCATAGGGCTGCCAAATGAGGAGATGGGAGGAAATCTCAGTTCCATCTTCCCGAGGAGTTTGGGCCTAGAGTTTTTAAGGGTTTTGGAGTGGGCCAAGGTGTGGAAATGGTTGAAATGGTTGGTCAGAGTTACAGCGTAAAGTCATGGGACTGGGAGATCTTGAAGAAGCAATATGCTTATGCTGATTTGGTTCCTCTGTGGGGGCTCTTTAAACTGGTTTTTAACAACTGTTCTGTTGGAATTCAGGATCTACTCAATTTTTTTTTTAGTTAAAAGTTCAATAAATGGAAGCTGCTTTTTGTTGGTGGTTTGAATGGCTTGTGGTGATGGCTGCATTTCTTTCTTTTTTCTTGATCAGGTGGATTTGTTTAAAAAGAGTCTTCTGTTGATTCCTATTCACCTGGAAGTCCACTGGTCTCTCATTACTGTGACACTCTCTAATCGAATTATCTCATTTTATGATTCCCAAGGCATTCATTTTAAGTTTTGTGTAGAGGTAAGTCGATATATGCCTCTTTTCTATTTATCTTGTGATTGGCTAAATAGCATCTTGGCTCTACTGAGAAAAGCAGAAGTCAAAACCATAGAGGAACAGCTTCTGTCATGAAAGACGTCTGAAATGTTGGCTGAGAAAAGGACTACAAGAGGAATCTCCAGGTGGGGAGAGGTAGCCATTGAAGATATGGATCCTCCTGAGATATTCTATTTGGATTTTGTCTGCCTTTCTCTTAAAACTACATCTTGAGTATGGATAGACATGATTTTCCTTGGCTCCTCCTAGAGCTAAAATTGGCTCACGGCTTCAAAATAACTTCTGTAGAATAAACTATTACCCAAGAGAATCAACTGACAAAAGCTCAGCTAATAACAGTTCAACAAGATTGTGGAATACGAAAGCAAGAAAAATGAATAGATTTCCTGATTTTCACTATCAGGAACCAGTAGAAAATGTAATTGCAAACAAAAGATTCCATTTACAAAGGCAACAAAACATAAATAACCCAGGAATATACCCTAGCGAGAAATGTGGAAAATATGATAAAAACAGCTAAAACTTTAAGTATTTAAAATAAATTTGAATAGATGGGGAGATAGACTCAGTATTGGAAAGAGATTAATTCTTTCCTAAGATATATTGTTTCTTATCAGTTTCTCGATAGGATTTTGAATAGAACTTGATAAACTCCTAGAATTCATATTACAGAATTCATGTGCATAAATAGTTAAAATAGTTATATTTTTAAAAATTTTTGTAGAGATGGGGGTCTTGCTGTGCTGCCCAGGCTGGTCTCAAACTCCTGGCCTCAAGCAGTCCTCATGCTTTGGCCTCCCAAAGTGCTGGGATTATAGGTGTGAGGCACCATGCCCAGCCACCAAAACAGTTATGAACTAGAAGAACAGTGTAGGAAGGAATACTTGCTCTACTAAATGTCAAGCCATGTTTTTTATAATTAAAGCTATATTTGTAATGGCTTAGGAATAGATCATAGATTGGTGGAACAGCATAAAGAAGTGACTCATATATATATGGGAATTTAGTATGGGATAAAGTTGGGGAAGGACAGGCTATTCAGTTATGGTACTGGAAAAATTAGCTGTCTATTTGGAAAAGTGAAATATAGGTCCTTCATATTACTTATAAAAACAAACTCCATGTGGAATAAAGACCTAAATATAACACACAAAACTGTTAAAAGTGTTTGACTAAGGTACAGACGATGTTATGCTCTTGGAGTAGGTAAGACCTTCTTATATAGAACCAAAAAAAAGACATAAGGAGCAGTTTGATAAATTTAACCATCTAATCTCTAGATAGATTCAATAGGATAAAGAAAAAAATTTAATTATCTCACAACTTAAAACTTCTGTATATCATAAAGCTAAAATACAAGTGACAGATGTGGAGAAAATGTTTATCATATATAATAGCTACTACCTAGACTATATAAATAACTCATACAAAAGAAATGGGGAAAGAAATGACCTAATGAAAATAGACAAAGGACATATGGTAAGTTTTAGGGAAAAATGCAGGTAACCATTGAACACATGGAAAGATGTTCAGCCTCACCAGAGATAAGAGAAATGCAAATTAAAACTACATCAGGGTTACATTTTTTGCCCATGATATTGGAAAAGGTTTGATGGTGTTCAAGTGTTTATGTGGGTGTAAGGAAATGGGCGTTTTTACCTTTTCTGGTGGGGTGTATACACTGATACGGCCCATTTATGTGGAGACAACTGGAATTCTAGTCAGTTCTAGTGTTTCATAAGTTAAAAAGATCCATAACCTATTGCATATCAGTCTGTTCCTTGGTATCTGCTCCATAAAAATCCTTGTACATGCATGTAAGGATGGGCCTTGTACCAGGATGTTCATGGCAGCATTGTTTGTAATAGTGAAAATAACCTAAATCTAGATCTACCAAGAGTATAGCTCAATACACTTTAGCACAGTATATCTGCTATTAAACTGACCATAGCAGCTTAAAATAATATAGTAGATCTCTAAGTTCTAACGTGGAAAGATGTTAAGACACAATTGAGCTTTAAAAAGCCAGTTGTGCCAGATGTGGTGGCTCAAGCCTGTCATCCCAGCACTTTGGGAGGTTGAGGTGAGAGGATTGCCTGAGCTTAGGGGTTCGAGACCAGCCTGGACAACTTGGTGAAACCTAGTCTCTACAATAAATCAACAACAACAAAAAATAAGCCGGGCGTGGTAGCACACGCCTGTAGTTTCAGCTATTTGGAAAGCTGAGGTAGGAGGATCGCCTGAGCCCAGCAGGTCGAGACTGCAGTGGCCGTGAGTGTACCTTGACACTCCAGCCTGGGCGACAGAGCAAGACTCCGACTCAAAAAAAAAAAAAGCCAGTTACAGAATGATACAGTATAATACATTTACAGGAAAAAAAAAATACATGTATGCTGTTTTCTGTTTTGTTTAGTTTTTGAGTCGGGGTCTCACTCTTGTCGCTCAGGCTGGAGTGCAGTGGCACAGTCATGGCTCACCGCAGCCTTTACCTTCTGGGCTCAGGCGATCCTTCCGCCTCAGCCTCTCAGGTAGCTGGGTCTACAGGCCAAAGCCACCATGCTTGGCTAATTAAAAAAATTTTTTTGTAAAGATGAGGTCTCACTATGTTGCTCAGGCTGGTCTCAAACTCCTGGGCTCAAACAGTCCTCCCTCCTTGGCCTCCTAAGTGCTGTGATTCCAGGCGTGAGCCACCACACCCGGTCTGTTTTTTGTTTTTTACACACACACATACACACACATACATATAAATGCCTGCATATATTATATACAAATATAGATGTCTACTTGTAAATAAAAGATGGGATGGATGCTTACTATTTTTTTATATCAGTAATTACTCAGGACTAATAAAGGAAATGTAGCCTTACTGGGGATATTTTCATTTTTTTCAAGGATAATATATTCTTATATTGCTTGCTTAATTAAAATTTAATTAACAGCTAAGTATATAGAAAACTACAAGGAAAATCACATTTTCAAAATCCAAGTTTTTGCCGGGCTCTGGCTCAGCCTGTAATCCCAGCACTTTGGGAGGCCGAGACAAGTGGATTGCCTGAACCCGTGGATTCGAGGCCTGTTCAGGCAACTTGGCACAACTGCGTCTCTATAATAAATCAAAAATTAGCCAGGCGTGGTAGCACACGCCTATAATTCTGGCTACTAGGAAGGCTGAAGCAGAAGGACCGCTGGAGCCTAGCTGGCTAACGCTGGGGTGGTTGTGAGCATCCCACTGCACTACAGCCTGGGAGACAGAGTGAGACTCCCAACTCAAAAACAAAAACAAAAAAACCAAGTTTTTTTCTAAGAAATCCAGGAAACGGAAAAAGAACAGTGAAGAATCTTCCTGGGCCAAGAGTTCTCTAAGTTTAGGCCAGAAGAGTTGGTACAATATCACATGTGAGTGGGTTTTCCAGTTCCTTTCCCTTAATTTTTTGCCTCTCTCTCAACCTGAGATGCTGGCCAGAGCCTGACTATATTTTCTCTTCCCTGGAAAAACGTAAAAAGATATAAACAAAAGTATAGCCAAATCAGTGCCTTTAAGAATCAGATTCTGAGCTGGGCTTGGTGGCTCAGCTGTAATCCTGCGCTTTGGGAGGCTGAGGCGAGTGGATTGTCTGAGCCCACTTGTTCGAGACTTGCCTGGGCAACTTGGTGAGACCTCATCTCTACAATAAATCAAAAAATTAGCCGGGCGTGGTAGCACACGCCTGTAGTTCCAACTACTTGGAAGGGTGGGACGGAAGGATCGCCGGAGCCCAGCAGGTTGAGGCTATGGTGGCCGGGAGCGTGCCACTGTACTCCAGTCTGGGCAACAGAATAAGACTCCAATTCAAAAAAAAAAGAATCAGATTCTGACAGGCAGAGGAGGGCAGGGGTGTCAGGAGAATCCATTCGTCTAGGAAATACTCACTGTGCCCCCTGCTTTGTGCCAGGCACTAATGTTGGGGAGTCAGGGAAAGGCCAGACAGACATCAATTTGCCTTCATGGACTAAATGATAGTTAAACAGAATTTTGGGGCTCGGCACGGTGACTGAAACCTGTAATCCCAGCACTTTGGGAGGCCGAGGTGAGAGGATTTGCCTGAACCCAAGGGTTTGAGAATAGCCCTGGGCAACTTGTAGAGATCTCGTCTCTACAATAAATAAAAAATTAGCCAGGCGTGGTGGTACGTGCCTGTAGTTCCAGCTACTTGGAAGGCTGAGGTGGAAGGATGACCAGAGCCTAGCAGGTAGAGGCTGTGGTGGCCGCAAGCATACCACTGCACTCCAGCCTGGGTGATAGAGTGAGACTCTAACTCAAAAAATCCCCCAACAACATAAAACAGAATTTTGATGATAAAACAGGCAGTTGGTTTCTAAATCAATTCTGTGCTAGTCATTGAAAAATTAATCTTCTGAATTTTTGCCCAAGCCTTTCTGCAGAGTTCTTATCTTTTCAGCAAAATTATAATTGGCCTGATAACTTTGCACATTTACAAAAAGGCCCAGAAAGCAGACTTATTTTTGGTGATAGCTGAAAGTCACTTAGAGCTAAGAGCGGTCATCTAGGAAGGTAGGATCAGGCTGTTTTTCGTCTTAAGGGAATGTGGGACTTATAGAAGTGGCTCTAAATGAGAGTTGGGGACCTGCATTTCCAAAGAGTTGACAAAAAATTATTTTTTATTTTTTGAGTCAGAGTCTCACTCTGTTGCCCAGGCTGGAGTGCAGTGACACACTGCTCACGGCCATCGTAGCCTCAGCCTGCTGGGCTCAGGCAATCCTTCCACCTCAGCTTCCAAGTAGTTGGAACTGCAGGCACATGCCACCATGCCCGGCTAATTTTTTGATTTATTGTAGAGACAAGGTTGCCTAGGCGGATCTCGAACCCCTGGACTCAGGCAGTCTTCTTGCCTCAGCCTCCCAAAGTGCTGGGATTACAGGCTTGAGCCACCACACCCAGCATCAAAAAATGTTTTAAACAATCACCAAGTAAATGTGTAAATTTCATGAAGCCAGGGAGTACAAGAGCTTTATTCACTAGTATGTCCCCAGCACTTGACACGTTATAGATGTTTGGTAAATATTGAATGTAAGTGACCATTTTCTTTTTTTGAAGGTGGGAAAGCAGGATTTATTAAGAGAATAGAAAAGCTCCCAGAGCGGGAGGGGACCCGAGGGGGCTGCCCAGGTGACCATTTTTAAGGACAGGTCTTTTTTGCCTGTATTTTATTTATGAATATATATATACTGTTTATTCTGAGACCTTGAAGTGACTTGTTTGGAGTAAGAAGAGCAATACGCAGTCATACTTTGTTAAATACTAAGTATTTGCTTTCACCAAATGTTTTTTCTTCCAAAGAGGTATCTTCTACTTCTACTCCACCTTCAGGGGGATGATTTAATACACACAACTTCTGACTTCACCCTTTAAGTGGAGAGAGAAATTCGCAAAGATGGTGAGGGCATCAGGGACATTCTGAAACTCCAGCAGGCTTCATCTTGGGAGGTGTTTCAACAATGGACTTAATTCAGTATTCAGATTGGATTTGAATACAACTTCCAGAAACTGAATGTCACCTTTCCTGCAGCCTCAAAAATAAGGAGTATGTCTAAGGCTGGAATGTTTTTCATTTAGTTTTAGTTGTTAATGATTTCCACCATAGGTTCCTTCCCTCTGTTGATCAATGGCAGGGAGAAAGACTTTCAAATGCAGTGAGTTGACTTATTCCTGGGAAAGGCTAACCATCTCATAAAACATTCTAATTAAACAAATACCAGTGTCCCCAGTCTAAATGCATACCTCAAATACAGAAAATCTGAGTCCATCTTTGCAATGTGAAATGAAAGCTCTGAAATAAAGTTCCAACTTTAGCTGGGCATGGTGGCTTCTGCCTGTAATCCCAGCTACTTAGGAGGCCGAGTCGGGAGAATTGCTAGATCCCAGGAGTTTGAAGCTGCAGTGAGCTACCATGATTGCACCCCTACACTTCAGCCTTCCAGCCTGGGTGACAGAGTGAAACCCCGTCTCTTAAAAAAAAAAAAAAAAAGCTACAGCTTTAAACTTTTAATGCATACTTTGCCCAATTATGGGGCCACAGCCTCTTCCTTTGCTTCTCTCTGCTGTGGGCATGTTCCATTTTTCACCAACTGATGGAACACAGCATCTGTGTTGTGGTTTCTTTTTAACCAGAATATAAGAAAGTATTTGCTGACTGAAGCCAGAGAAAAAAATAGACCTGAATTTCTTCAGGGTTGGCAGACTGCTGTTACGAAGGTAAGTATGTGATAAAAATGAAACCCAGGCATGTCCAGGGGATGGAATGATCTAAGGGTGGGTGCCTTTAAAAGCATTTGAGACTGGTGACAAAGATACTAATGAGACAACCTGGAAACTCCAGGGAGGCAGCTCAGAATAAACCACAGTTTAGTATTCATCATCTGGCTGCTCAGTTTCCAGTGCTTGCTGGGAGCAAATAATTTCAGACATCTCATCCCTGAGGCAGTTGCTAATTATGTAGTTGCTCTTCTGGAAAAAAAAAAATTTTTTTTTTGGAGGGTGGCACCTGCCTCTTGCCTCATGGCTCTTATTTCCAGATGACCCATATAGACCCAGGTAAATGCTGAAATGACTATTTGGATCCACTAAGGGAGAAAGTACACTGGGCTACATGCTAGGCTTGTGGGGAAGACAGCAACCTGAGTGCACACTCTGGATGCAGCCCCGTGTTTGGCCTGGGCATAGCTTCTCAGTCCTGTGTGAATACCAGTGTCTTCCATTTATGGTCAGTGCTTGATGATTTTCAAAGTGTTTTTGTATATATTATCTTTTGTATATATTATCTTTACAACCTATGAGGCAGGTGGGTCATTTAAGGCAGGGGTTCCCAACCCCTGGGCCACGGACCTGTACCTGTTAGGAACCCAGCTGTACAATAGGAGGTGAGAGGTGGGCCAGTAAGCGAGACTTCATCTATATTAACAGCCACTCCCCATTGCATTACCCCCTGAGCTCTGCTTCCAGTCACATCAGCAGCAGCATTAGATTCTCATAGGAGCGCGAAACCTGCTGTGAACTGCGCATACAAGGGATCTAGTTGTGTGCTCCTTGTGAGAATCTAATGCCTGATAATCTGAGGTGGCACCGAGGCAGTGATGCTATATGTTTCACTACATACTACAATGCAATAATAGAAACAGGATGCCCAATAAATGTAATGCACTAGAATCAGTACCTTCCCACCCTCCACAAAACTAGTCTCTGATGCCAAAAGGGTTGGGGGCCACTGATTTAAGGGATAAACATCATCTTATTTTATACATGAGAAAACTGAAGTCCAGGTGTGACTTCCCCCAAAGGACAGCAACACTATTTATACATAGTCAGTTCCTTGAACTCAGGTTTGTCTGCTTCATTGACATAATGTTCTAGTCAGCATCTTGAAATAAATTTTTAACCCAAACCCAAAGGGACAAGATTTATTAGTTCATCTTTGAACTGAGCTAAATGCTAAATTTTTAAAATTAAGCTTAAGTTTTATGTTTTGAATAAATTAGTATACCAGTTCAAACCAGAACTGAACTAGTAAATTTTCTGAATTTACTCAACTAGAATATCTAGGTATTCTAAACTTAGGGTATTTTGTATTCCCACTTTGGGCAGGATTCAGTAACCTGCTTTGAAAACAAACTGTTTATCTTCACATTTCTTTCAGAGTAGGGAGGACAGAGTTGTATAATTTAAGATAAAAAGTGAAGACTGCTAACTAAGCATTGTTACCATTCTAGTGTTCAGGTCCAGGCATATGTTCTTTGATTCACAATTCCATTTTGACACTGTTGTCAGTGAACTGATAGCAAAACTAATTATCCAAAGGGATGTTTTTAAAAAATAGGTTTTAAAATTTGATTTCCCACTTCTCATTTTTAGGCAACACTCTATTCTGTACATTGTGGTCGCCACTTACTAGCGCTTTTTATGTGGCCAGATGCCTCCCTAAAGTTAGACACTTAAGATACCAGAGGTAGAAACTAGCTGTTCTGGGGAGAGGCAAGTTTTCTATCTTCTCATTTTTCCATAAAAGAATTTTTTGATCTGAAGAGAAGTACTTGACCTTGTTTTAATGACCATTTTGTTTTTCCCCTCAGTGTATTCCACAACAGAAAAATGACAGTGACTGTGGAGTCTTTGTGCTCCAGGTAAAGAAATACTGTTTTTTCAGAATTTACAATGTGTGAATTAACTTTGTTGGGTTTAAGGTGGAGAGGTGGCAGTCCCAGTATGAATACATGATGCTAGGTGCAAGCAGGAGAGTACTTTTCCTCTCCTTTGTTGTTGAGAAGCAGTAGTTTCTGCATTTTCAGATGTTATCATTAGGAAAACCTGCCCTCCAAGGCCAAGAATGAACAATTGGTATCATCAGTGTCTTACTGAAAACCTCTGCATAGTTGCTGCTTTTCACAGTATTGAATCAGGAGGGGAGACCCCAAGTCATATCCTGGAAAGTTGACTGTAATTTGGGGTTGGTGTTCTAAAATAATGTGTTTTTGCGACAAGTTTAAGTAATGTTTAAAAGCTGCCTCAGATCCCTATTGGGTCTGCATCTGGCAGAATATAATGGGTTGGTGCACAACTCCACATGCCACTCAAGTGTTTCTGAAACCTTTGCAGTACTGCAAGTGCCTCGCCTTAGAGCAGCCTTTCCAATTTTCACAAGAAGACATGCCCCGAGTGCGGAAGAGGATTTACAAGGAGCTTTGTGAGTGCCGGCTCATGGACTGAAATTCAGCAGGGACTCTGGGAAGTCTGACCAAGTTGGAGCAGATGGTTTGTTACTTGAATCTCCAAACACTTATTTGAATTTTTACAGATATTTCAGATCAGTGGTGTTGGGCCACTATTGTTACCTCAAATTTATTTTTTACCCTTATTCATTTCTCCAGCTACCATGTTCTGTTGTTTAATGTTCAGTTTGGTTTCATTTTTAATTTTATGGATTCTGTGCATTCCCCCCATATTTAATATTTATTATCCAAACGCATGCATATAGACAGAGCATGCAGTGAAGAGTATTAAAAAAAAGCTTAGTAGATTTGGTGCAGCTTTTGAAACTTAGTTAGACATGAACTGAATACAGGTTTCAAATTTAATCTCAGAACCTAAAAACGCGAGATGTTTTTAATACAGCATAATTCTGAGAATAGTAGATGTTCCCTGAGGCATAAAGGATAGCTAGGAGTGGTTTTGACAAGCCAGTCCTGTTTTATTTTAACCAGTGGCACCTTTCACTCTCTTCCCTCTCCAAGTGAGTTTTGCAGAGATGCGTTCCTTTGGAAGGGCGAGATGGAAGTGGCCGTAAACTGACTGGTGTGTCTGTTTATGGAGGCACACTTGCTGTAAGCACAGTGCCTGCTTTGGGAAGAGTCGACCAAGGTATGAGAAAAAGACAGCGACCTTAAGGGCCAATTACCTTAATGAGAGGTTTCAGTCTTGGTTTTAAGAATTATAATATATGGCCTTTATCTCATAAAGGCTTTTGCTGGGACACTAAATTCCCTGGATTTTTCTGTTTTTGACCTGTTAAAAAAACTTAACATCCATCAAACTACTGGTCAAACAAATGAGAATTTAGCCTTTCTAGGAGTAATTTGCAAGTTGTCCCTTTTGTTACCTCCCATATGGAAGAAGTTAGGATTTACCAAATAGAGTTCTATTTCAAAGGTATCTGAAATATAAATATTCAAAATCAGACTGATTTTGTCTTTTGCAGATATGTGGGGAGAAGAGGAAAGGTAATAAAGATACCTTGATTCCATGGGAATGCAGCAAATGTGTTAGAGGCTTTTGTTCTCCTATCCCTTTAATGTTATCAGCAACATGCAGGGCTCTTTGGCGTCTGTGTGACCAATCCAGACTAGCAGAGTTCTTTTTTCCTCTTCTTTTGAACTCTGTCTTCTGAGGAAAGGCCAAAGTGACCTTGTCCATACACTTAGCTGCATTAGGGTTGAAATAACAGACCTTACATCTTTAATTTGGCCTTTTAGGACATGTTTGAAAGAAAAGGCGTATGTTAAACATACCCAACCATCTTTTCTGAACCAGAGGAGGAAAAACAGCAAATGTATGTGTGAAACTCAGAAGCTTGCATAGAATACAAAAAACAAGTAAATGGCAGAAGATACTTGAATGTATACCTGGTTAGGTCTAGGATGTTGACAAGAAAATGTTTAAGTTGGCCCTAAGGTATGGCTGAGAGAAGGCTGACTGCCAGCAGTTGAGGGCCGAGTCAAGCCATGTTTACATGCAGGGTTTCCCACATCAGTGGTGACACTGGGAAGCAGCCCCGGCACTTTCCTCTCCTGAGTCCGGCAGACTCAAAGAAAACCTCCTTAGTGTAAAACCAGGTCAGTATTTCTTACTGTGCTTCAGGTCATTAAAAAGACAGAGTGGAGGCACTTTATTGCTGCTACAGGTAGGGTGTGTCAGCATTAAGATAATTTAAAGCAGGGAGGGTCTCTATCTCTTCTTGAGGTTTTCAGGTATCATTATGCAAATATGAGATTTTTCAAAATTTGTGACATTTGCCTCTGGTTTTTTTTTTTTTTTTTTGGGGGGGTACTATACCAAAGTAGTCTGTAACTAGGTTATCAATTCAAAATGTCTTGTACTTCAGAGTGAAGAAATAGCTACTTCCTCACTGACAGAACCAGGCATGCAGGAGGAACAGAAGTAAACTGTGTTCCTTTAAAAATATTAGTTAATGCCCAGAGCTGGCATTGCCATTTCCTCCACTCTGAGAAGTGGCCATCTGTCAGCACTGAGGCCTGCAGGGATGAGCATAGAGACACTTAGGTGAGCTGTCCAAGTCCAGTTACTCTTCCACTTCCAGTTTAATAGGGCACCTTGAGGTGCACTGCCCAGCATGGTTTAGCTTAACTGTTGAGTAATTTTAGTCTGTTTTTAAATGTTTCTGTCGCTTATGAAATTTGGTTTCAGCACACATAGTTGCTTTTCCCTCTCTTCTTGTGACTTGGTATAAACCTCTATTTAACTCAAGTTCTAGGTCAGAATGTCCTTTGTTCCATGTTTGCAATAATTGCTTCCTTGGTAACAAAGGTATTTTTGAAATATACTCTGGGCTGTTGATGTGAGAGACAAGCATTGCTTTACTATCACTAGCTTAGCATTGAATTGTTTGGGTGCCGACAGAGCAGACCGACCTTAAGCTACTTTTGATGCCTTCAACAAGTGGCCTAGTCTTCTCCATCAGCAAATTTACCAGACTGTAGTTGCTTCTTTCCAGTGGTCTTTCCTTTTGTTAAATCTATAGCAATGAATATAGATTTAACTCAACTTTCAAGAATCTTTCAAGTTCTTTCAAGAATCATAGGCAGATAATCAACTTTCAGTTAGCCTCTTAAGGAAGGGAAAAGCAGCAGTTGCTGCCAAGAATTCCCAAATTATGTGTTTGGCATTGCATTCTATTTTATACTTAGCATTGAATATGAGTAACATGGTCATCCTGAATTTATAGTTGGGACAAAACAGTAAGAGAGACCTAACTGGGACACAGCCAGCACTAGCCTAATCTGAGCTACTCTTTTTTCTCTGCAATTGTGGTTCATTGCTTCCCTGGTTTAGAATTGAGGGGTCTGAGTGGGTCAGACCTATCAGGCAAGAAAGCATACTAATAGTGTGAATTAGATATACAGATTCCTTGCTCTGCTTAATCATGTTAAGAAACTGAATCAGCACTTATAAAGCACATACTTGTTATGTGCTAGGCTCTGCCTCCTGGCCTGTAGATAATGAAGGCAACCTAGGGAATACCATCAGAGAAGTGCTCACTGTATTTGGGTGTTACAAAAGCAGACCTAGATAAGATGTTCACTTAAATGGTACCTGTTGGTCAGAAAAAGAATTTATTTAAAGATTATGATCATGTAAAATGACAGTACTCAACCCTTCTAGCAAAATATTTTTTTGAAAAATAAACTAAATGCCTTTATAACCTTGTGTTCTCTTGTGTTGAATAACATGTACTGTTTGGTGAGTAGTAACTCGTCCCAGTGACATTCCAGTCATAAGGCTCATCTAAGAACAGTGACCAAACGGGCGCGTTGGCTCACGCCTATAATTCCAACACTTTGGGAGTCTGAGGTGAGAGGATTGCCTGAGTACAGGGCTTTGAGACCAGCCTGGGCAACTTGGTTAGACCTCATCTCTACAATTAAAAAAAAAAAATTGGCCAGGCTCAGTGGATCAGCCTGTAATCCCAGCACTTTGGGAGGCCAAGGTGACTGGATTGCCTGAGCCCGTGGATTCGAGACCAGCCTGAACAACTTGGTGAGACCTCGTCTCTACAATAAATAAAAAATTAGCCTGGTGTAGTCGTGTGCATCTGTAGTTCTGGCTACTTGGAAGGCTGAAGTGGAAGGATCGCTGGAGCCCAGCAGGTTGATGCTGGGGTGGCTGTGAGTGTGCATGCCACCACACTCCAGCCTGGGTGACAGAATGAGATGCCAACTCAAAAAAAACCAAAAAAACATTAATCGGGCATGGTGACGCACCCCTGTGGTTCCAGCTACTTGGAAGGCTGAGGCGGAAGGATCACCTGAGCCCAGCAAGTCAAGACTGCGGTGGCTATGAGCATGCCATTGCACTCCAGCCTGTGTGACAAAGAGAGACTCCAACTCAAAAAAAAAAGAAAAGAAAATCAGCGACCAGTGTAGGCTCAACTATCTTAGCCTTAGAACAGCCCTATCCAATAGAATTTTCTGCAGTGATGGAAATGTTCTATATTTTCATCCACTAGCCACAGATTTGGTTAGTGTGACTGAGAACTTGAGTGCTTAATTTTATTTTAGTTAAATCACAGGTGGCTAGTGGTTAGCACATTGGGTAGCAGAGCTCTAAAGCAAGTCTCAAGTTTTAAACTTTGGCTAATAATATATAGGGTCATCTGAGTCTGCAGATTCCAGTCTGGCTAGATCTGACACTTCACCCATATATCGTAATCCCTAATCTTAGCATATATGTCTGAATTTTTCCTTCTCTGATTAAAATGAGAAACAGGATAGATGTGATTTCTGAAGAAATAGGAAAGGATACAGTGAAAAGACAGTCATATTCTGTCTTTAGTCCAAAAAACATAAAATCCTCTTTTTAAAAGAAAAATGTTTTTCTGTAAACACAGGGTTTCACTATGTTTCCCAGGCTGGTAGGAAACTCCTGGCCTCAAGTAATCCCCCTGCCTCAGCCTCCCAAAGTGTTGGGATTACAGGCACGAGGCAACAGTCTGACCAGGTCCTCTTAATTCAGCCCCAGTTTCCCTTCCCCTCGAATCATCCAGAGCACATGTTTTCTGGAAAATTAACCTATTCTTCCATCAATAGAGAAGATTCTTTGGTGCATCTTTTATAAGTTTCATAAGAACATCCATGCTGTCTCTTCACATGAAGCCACAGTTAGTTGCAACTATCAAATAAAAATGGACATACAAATCCTGCACAATATTCATAGAATCCCCCCAAAACTCATTCCAGAATAAGAAAGTTCCAGAACATGTCCTTCTTTATAGGGCAGGAAGCAGGCAGAGACAATAAGTTGGTCGAACTTTATTATAGAAGACACAATTCAAATAAGAATAACTGTCTTTGGTGTTAAGGCCTGTAGAAATCTGAGTTAAATTTTACTACAAAATAATATAAAATACACTAACTCAAACTATAGTGTAAAAAGAAATTTAAAAAATGAACAGTGTGTCCTTATTAAATGCTTGCAAATAGCTTCTTTCTAAACATTTACAACTAGTTATAGCTCTTTCAAAAAATTCAGATAACCAACATGAAAGATGTTCGCACTTAGGTACATCAGCCCCAACTTTTACAAACTACTAGAAGTGAAAAGATACTCTGTTGATAGGTGAAAAAAATTCACATTTCACATTTTTTTTCACATCAGGAAAAATTACAGACTACAGTTTTTGGTTTTTTTTTGAGTTGGAGTCTCACTCTGTCGCCCAGGCTGGAGTGCAATGTCACGCTCATGGCCACCGCAGTCTCGACCTGCTGGGCTCAGGTGATCCTTCCGTCTCAGCCTTCCAAGTAGCTGGAACCACAGGTGCATACCACCACACCCAGCTAAATTTTTAATATATTGTAGAGACATAGTCTTGCCATGTTGCCCAGGCTGGTCTCGAACTCCTGGGCTCAGGCAGTCCTCTTACCTCAGCCTCCCAAAGTGCTGGGATTACAGGCATGAGCCACCATGCCTGGCTTGACTAACAGTTTTAAATGAGTAATAGCTTACATATAATATTAGAGATAATATTATAATCTCGCCTTATGAATGCAAAACAAATTCTCTAGACTCAACCTCACTGTAGAGACCATCAGCTCACTGTTAAAGCTTGAAGCTCCATAAGAACAACTTCGGGAAAAAACAGACTTCACTATGAGAAATGGTTGAAATAAACATCCCAGAAAGCTTCAAATCTGTTGCCAAGGAAAACAACTTTTGACCTGGTATCAAAATCATTCTGGTAACCTGACATATGGCCAAGATTCTAAGATGAGAATTAAAGACATTCTTTCGGATCTGCCCTTTAATTAAAATTTCAGAGGAAAACTCTGAAGGGGTTTCCAGCTTAGTAGAGACATTGATCAAAACTTGGTTAAAAAAAGGGGAGGGGCTGGTTTGCAGACCTTGGGTAGTGTTCTTCAACACATTAAAAGAGTGAGTTTTTCACTGATGGAGCTCTCACAACTCACTGGTTTTGTGCCAGTTTTCCATACCCTCCTCTCCCAGCATCGTAGTCCTGCCGATACTCATCTCGTACCTGAAGTGAAAAGAACACAAAGTTACACTACAGAGAAGACTGGTGTAACAGATATGCCTCCCACAAACATGTCAGACAAACAGCTAAACCTTTTCGGATGCTGTAATGTAAACACTCATACAGGACATGTGTACTTAGCCTCATTTCAGTGCATTCTGCTTTCAATCTAGACACTCCTGTGAGTGGAAAATATCTAGCTCCTATCAGAAGTTCAATAATGGTTACTTGTAGAGATGTAGTACAGAATATACTATTTTTTCAGATCCACTTCAAGCCAAGGTTACAGGCACAAAGTTATTTACAAAAAAGTAATACTAATTGACAAGACACATGGAATCCCAGGCAAAGGCTGAGCCCAGAGATCCTTGCATACCTGGCCACCAGATCGCCCACGTCCATACTGCCTGCCCTCCTTAAAGCCTGCATCCCAGTCTGTGCGAATGATCCGGTCATCCAGACGGGTTCCATTTATGTACCGCATGGCATTTTCTGCATCTGCTCTTGAATAGTATCTTAAATGTAAGCATTAAGGAACACTAGAATTTCTCCAAACATTTGAAAAAATATGAGAAGCTGCCTGGTGTGGTGACTCATACCTGTAATCCCAGCGCCTTGGGAGGCAGAGGCAAGAGGATTGTCTGAGCTCAAGAGTTCGAGATCAGCCTGGGCAACATGGCGAGACCTCATCTCTACAATAAATCTAAAAATTAACCAGGCATGGTGGCATGCACTTGTGGTTCCAGCTACTTGGAAGGCTGAGGCAGAAGGATCGCCTGAGCCCAACAGGTTGAGGCTGCAGAGGCCATGAGCATACCATGAGCATGCCTGTCTGGGCAACAAGGGAGACTCTGACTCAAAAAAAAAAAAAAAAAAAAGAAAAAGAAAACATGAGAAGCAACATCTAAATGAGCCTGATTTGTTCAAAAGCTAATCCAACAACACAAAGTTCAAAGAATAATTCATCTTGCTAGGAAGTCAAATATAACACTTATCCATGGCTACACTGATCATGATTTCTTACATATTCCCATTAGTAATTTTTTGTCCCATTGTCTCATATTTTAGTTTGCAAAACATATGTTCAATGCAGGTTTAGACTACAAAGAGTGCACTCCTTATCTAAGAAACAGTGACATCCAAGTGGGCACTATATATTCAAGAATAACCTTCAAAGAAGCTTTGGGAAAGCGGAACATGAAGTTCCTGGAGGATGGTGATCCCAGAGAGGCCACACCACTCTCCCATACCTTGCCCTACACATCTCTTTATCTGTATCCTTTGCAATGTCCTTATAATAAACCAACAAATATAAAAAAAATTATAATAACCTTAACAAAAAGAGGTCACAGCACATATGGAACTGCTGCTGCATTTCACTAAAGGAAACACTCAAAGTACCACCTAGGTTAGTAGCTCCTATGCCTACTTAATACTTAGTCCCTTTAATTATTATTATTATTATTTTTTGAGTCAGAGTCTCACTCCATCACCCAGGCTGGAGAGCAGTGGCACACTCACGGCCACCCCAGCATCGACCTGCTGGGCTCTGGTGATCCTTCCACCTCAGCCTTCCGCTACTTGCAAGTAGCCGGAACTACGGGCATGCAATACTGCACCCGGCTAATTTTTTATTTATTGTAGAGACAAGGTCTCGCCAACTTGCCTGGGGTGGTCTCAAACCCATGGGCTCAGGCAATCCACTTGCCTCGGCCTCCCAAAGTGCTGGGACTACAGGCTAAGCCACCGAGCCCGGCCATGTCCCTTTAATTACAGGTCTACCTGCAAGCAGGAAGGCATTTAAACCCAGGCAAATAAAAGATTCTCAGTGAACTTTCTAGAGGAACTAGTGTCTTTGTTAGCAGGCCAAAATACAATCTTTCTGTCGGGTACTTGGGAAGCCCACACATCCCAAAGGCAAGACAGCAATTTGAGAGAAAATCCCTCTCTAGGTCCAATGAGTCAGCATTTCTTCCCTTAATTATGAATGGAAACCCAGGATCACCAGACATTTGAGGAACTTTTACAGCCTAAATATAACCAAAACATAATTTCAGAGCACAGAAAAAAATTCAAAATTAGAACACGTCTGGGAAATTTCTCAGAATATGAGATAACCAAAAAATAAAATATTAGTAAAAAGACTCCAAGGATCAATCCAGGAAGTACAAAATTTAGTTTCCAGAAAGAGTGCAGATGATCACAAGTAAATGCAATTAAGGTTTTTACTTATAAAATCTATACACATCTACATAATGAAATACTGTATGCAACCAATACAAATTTTTTAGAGGTGGGGTCTCACTCTGTCACTCAGGCTGGAGTGCAGTAGACAATAGCTTACTGCAGCCTTGAAATCATGGGTTCAAATGACCCTCCTACTGTAGCCTCCCAAGTAGCTGGGACTACAGGAACAAGCTACCACGCTTGGATAATTTTTTTTTAGTTGAACTCTTGTTCTGTCGCTTAGGCTGGAGTGCAGTGGCATGCTCACAGCCACTGCAGCCTTGACCTGCTGGGCTCAGGCAATCCTTCCACCTCAGCCTTCCAAAGTAGCTGGAACTAGAGGCACACACCACCATGCCAACTAATTTTTTTATTTTTTGTAGAGACAAGGTCCTGCCAAGTTGCCCAGCCTGGTCTCGAACCCCTGGGTTCAGGCAATCCTCTCCCCTCTCAAAGTGCTGGGATTACAGGTGTGAGCCACAACGCCCAATTTATTTTTTTTAGAGACAGGGCCCCACTATGTTGCCCAGGTTGGTCTCAATGCCTTTGCTGAAGCAAGTGTCCCACCTTGGCCTTCTGAATGGCTGGGATCACAGGAACGTGCCATTGTACCCTGCTATACGACCATTTTTTTTCCTTTTTTTTGAGTTGGAGTCTCACTCTGTCGCCCAGACTGGAGTGCAGTGG